TACTCTGCCTCTGAATCCAGTATAATAGAAGCAAAAAGGGGCAACATCCTAGGTTGCGTGGTTTTGTTACATATACTGTTAACTAGAATCCCTGGCACAAGGACGTACAATTCTTATTCTTAACCTGTGGCTGACATTTGTAGCCAGTAAGTTGCCTTTACTGAGATTTTTTTTTTTCATTCTCAAAAAAATAAAATTGCTAGTTTTTCCATCACAAATTGCAGCATTATGCAACTGATTTGTTTAAAACAAGCAACAAAAAACTATCAGCTAATGTCAAAACTAAGGGCATAAATCCTAACCAGGCAGTATTCGCTTCAGGTAGGTACTTAAAAGCCTGCAGGAAACAGCAAATGAAAGGCAAATCCATTTACACATTGCATTCTTTGGATTTTACTATTTTGGTTTATTGTTGCTAGGGAAATGCTATGCCTAAAGTTCATATCATTGGATGTCACAGTGAGTTGCTCTTGGAAATGGTTGTTACAAAGAACTGGCTAGGTCTTAAGCTGAGCCATAGGTAGCGTGAACCACACACAGTAACGAAGAACACACATCCTGTCTCCATGCATATGTTCCCAACACTAACTTAAAGGTTTTTCAAAGTTTCCTATGAGACCATCACTTTAAGCAGCAGTATTTTGAACCAGCTGCACTTTAGTGCAAGTTTGTTAGAAGATTTGTTTCAATTAATAACTTGAAATAGTAGACTGCTAATTCTTGAAGTACTGGGTCACTGCCAGTTGGTCACATTCTAATACAGAGGCACAGTTCCAGCAAAACTTTTTATTCATTATAAAGCGTTTCAGAAAGTTCAGGAAATCAAGCTATTTGGTTGACCAGCCCTGTTGTACATCTGTGCTGTGGAGCTGTTCCATGGAATGTTGTAGTACTCTCGGAATTCTGTGCCAAAAAATTAAAAATTCTGTGCGTAATAATTTAAAATTCTGTAAAATTTTGCATATTTTGTCAAAATAACACAATATAATCACCCCCGTTTCAATTATTTTGGTAATTTATTTCAAAATACCTATTAACAAGTATGTCAACAATACAGACAACAGCAAAAAAAGATTCCCCGACCAGCAGAGTTAAAGAAATCCCTACTACAACTCAGTTCCAGTTGGGGAGTGCTGGAGGCGGCTGGGTGGGGCCCCCAGAGCCCCGACATCTGAACTTCCATCCTCCCCCAGAGCCTAGCTGCAGGGCAGCCCCAGCCCAAACACCAGACCCCCTCCACTCTGGCCCAGACACCATCACCCTCTCCTCCCAGATCCCAGCGATGGGATACTGCTGGCCCAGACACCAGCATCCCCTTCCACCTGGAGCCCAGACAAGGGGAAGCCCCCAGCCCAGACACCAGCACCCTCAGAGCCTTTACTCCCCCCAGCTTCTTTACTGTCCTGCCAGGGGATGTGGTGTGGTGCAGTCCAGTCCAGTCCTGCCCTTCCTCACTCTTTGCCAGAGTTGGGGCCTTTGCCCGTCCCTGGGAGGATGAGGATCAAGCAGAATGTGCAGCCTCCAGTCAGGCTAGGCAGTCCACTCACTGCAAGCTGGGCTCTGCAAACTCCAGCAGTCCCTAGTGGCAGCCAGCAATTCTGTGGGGGAAACAGAATTCTGCAAAATTCTGCATTGCGCAGTAGCGCATGATTCCCCCAGGAGTAAAATGTATGCCTTGATCCTAAAAGTGGAGCTTTATAGGCAGTCCCTTGTACCTACACATAGTCCATGGGAGTTGACTGTACTCAGCTCCTAAATATTCACTATAACTTACATAAAGACGTATTCTTAAATTATTTGTATTATCATAGCACCTACGAACCATAATCATGGTCCCAGGCCCCCATTGTGCTAGGTGCTGCACATACACAGAACAAAAATAAGAGGTCTTATACTTGGGTTGTAACCTCTTATAAGACAAGAGACAACAGATGGATGTAGATTGACTTACTGATGGGAGTTTACAAGGAACAGAGAGTCAATATTATCATGCTAGACACCTTTTGTAGTCCAGCAGAAGCCATCTTTAAAGTACACTGGACCCTCGCTAGAACGTGGGATTTGGGATCCACGTGCGGTGCCGCGTTAACACGGGGACCGCGTTAAAATTAATTGCAATTAATTACATTTGGGATCCATGGCTGCGACAGTGTTATATGCGAATTCGCGCTATATAGACGTGTTCTAGCGAGGGTCCGGTGTATTTATTGTGTATAATCCTTAGGACCAGCTCAATTTCATATGTAACCGTAAATTCTGTAATCCCTTATTCACTACCCTTTGTTAGTTTCCTTATCCTTGTTCCAACTTCCACCTTTATCTGTGCACAGTAAAGAATATTTGCTTGTTCACATTAAACAAGAGCCCGTGGCAAAACCAAAAGGGTGAGATGTTCACACTGTTACCATAACTCTGCTCTTGCTGAAGTCAATGGCAATCATGTTAGGGCCAATCCCACCCAACATCTACAAATATATGTTGGCACTTCCTTGTCTATTGCTGTCAATCTTAATTACAATTTCAATATTTTTAGTTTCACTGGTTGCAACTGACCCTCCTTTAAACATTCTGAAAATATACTGTATACCCTTAAAACTTTTTATTTTGCTAAATACTTTGACTATAATTAGAACTACTTATTTTTACAACACATACAGAGATCAAATAATGAGGGAGGTTTGGAAACAGGTAAGCTGTAATGTGGTTTAAAAAAAATTGATCTCTTTTTAAAATGCACAATAGGCTGGGGAAATTGTCAATTATCTGAATTTTCTTTTGAGTTTCTGCACTTCATTTATTTCCTACTAAATTTTTGTTGAATTAAAAATTATACGTAAGACCCGGATCCACAGAGACTCTAGCACCTAAGTCCAGATTTAGGTGCTACTGTGACCCACCGAATTCCTGCACAGTTGCCACAGAACCCTC